TACGAGAGAGTGACGTGAGCCTATTTTTGTTATCTATTCGTTTTCAACGAGCTAACAGCAGATATCGCCTTACTACTTGAAAGGTAATTATACTAAGAAAGATATTTGCTTGAAGGACTCCATTGTATATTCTCGTATGTGTGGCATTATAATGCAGTCAAACAGATCACAAAACGGCATCCGATATTTTCGTTCCACGGTGGCGTGCCATAGACACACGGTAGTGCTCATGGACGTATATACGTATTTTTTGCTAATGCCGATTCAAAGGCTACATATACAGACCCTGCATGATGACGCTATGCATGTCATGTCACCAAGAATAAACATGCTGCGTCGTTTTATTTGTAGAGATAATTTCTACCTTTACGGTTGCATTTTACTTGAGTCAACCTGTAAGTACGATCATATACCCGTCTATTTGTTGCTTTATCAGTTATTATATGTAAAAATTATGTTGGAATTATGTTACTGTATAGTTTCGTTGAGTTCGAGTTGCTTCCTTGTGACGGCCAAACGTAGTTGAGCATCCACCCTTACTAACCTCGTCTAGAAAGGGCAACGTGTAAAGACAGGTCGCGTGACAAACGTTTTATTCGATTAAGGGATCATATAGGTGGTCTTGGAATATCAACCGCACCGTTATATCATGCTGCTAACAATAAGACGCTCATACCGGTGCCCATATAGGTATACGTTTAAATAGGATACAGAAATGCTTGATATCGGCGTTTGGTAAGTTGGTGAAATAAGAAAAATTCTATATTTACGCCAGATTTAGTTTGTTTCTGAAGTGTTCACTAGCATTTTGAGAATATTAGGTTTAAACCTGTGATTGTAGCCGCTAAGGCGCGCATTAAAAAAACTAGGATCGTTGGAAATGCTGGCTGGTCATAACATTCCTGTCGTGTCTATGTGTTCCTTGCACCAAGTAGATATAGCAGCAACTAAAATGAGCAGCAATGGGACAAAACAAACAAATTAGGTAGAATATCTTAGCCCAGGTCCAGTAGTTTTTCGGGGACATAAAAAAAACATGTCCCGGCGGAGAGCAGTGTTTAATTTGTCGAATAAATCTGTCAGCCTTTAAGCGAGAATTGTTTTTAGTTAGTCCTGAATTTCACACTTCTGGCCGCAGCGACTATTTCGATACGCGAAAGTAGCTTTATTCCATCACCGTAGTAATCGAACAGCATAAATTCGGGACGAAAGTGAACTTTATGCAGTTTTAAGGGTTGGTGTGTCTTACCTTCGACGCATTTGGGCTACTTTTCTATAATTTACTTCCCTTCTATGATATACTTTTCTATATTCCTCTAGTATTTCCGGTTAAGGCCATATGCCCCTTTTATGATTAATACTTAGCAACTGATATCTGCTGCTTTAAGTAAGGACCGGTTTCGTCTGGTATTCTGAAAAAAATGTATTATAACGAAAATCTGCGCTCTGGCTCTCCATTTCCTTTCGATTACCACTCTTAGATCACGAACGAATTTGAAGTCATTGAAGCGGATAACAGCATCATCTAGGGTTATGTAAGCAAACCGTCTCCCCGTTCCTATCCTTTCACTGAAGGGACTTGTTGTGAACTTTGAGACTTTTAACGAACCTATATACTTATATATGCAACTTTTTTTAGTGTAACTATCACATTGACTAATAAGTTTGTAATTTGTCAACTTCTTGAATAAGCACAATATACCTATTTGCCAGTCAAACGTTCATTCAAGTTAGGCGAATTTGCCAGGAAAAATAAGCAGAAGATAATGAAGGCTAGGGAGCTCATATTTATACAGCTAGGCAAGCGCTATACTGCTTGTATCTATGACATTATAACAAATCGCGTTACTTCTTTAGTTTCGAGCTCGGCATATGTCCTTTTGCTCAGGCCCTCTGCGCCCTGTCATTTCATCTATTTTCGCCTTTGATTATGTTTATTTCGAGTCTATGCTTCTGTGTCTTTGTAGACTAGGCTGACCTTTATTTGCGTCAGCTTAACGCTAATAGTGTTCTGGATCAATCGAAGGCGACTGATTCAGTTGTCAATTGTGCTGGGAGATCTGGTAGTCAAATAGCGTCAATCCATTGGATAGAAATTGAACGACCTTATGACCCTCGGCTGATTAAGGATCTTTTCATCACCATTGTCGATAGGAGTGAAATATTACTAAACATTCAGTGTCATACCGTAAAATGGACATTCTTCTTCGCCCGAGAAATAACATAAATGCGCAGTAAGATCGTAGCACAATCACCAAGCTTACGGATAATCGTTTCTATCGACTACTACCTGACCGCAAATCGTAATTGTTGCTACACGATCGAGCTATCCCGGACTCAGCGATAGATTTGGCGGTTTCAGTTAAATAAGATTTTCAGAAGATGCCCACCGTCGAACTATTCCGTGGCTGTATTTAAAAAAAAAAAATGGCAATACATTATATAATTGAAATATAAAGAGTGTTCCACTGGTCATTGAGTAAGTTTCAGGAAACGCTCACTCATGTAATGTAAACACACAGTTGCCCACCACGGAGTAAATGATGATAATTTGCAGGTACCACGGATTCTTCCGTCGGCCCAAGTCAAATAGATGCATTACTAAACAGCTACGAAAATGACAGCTAGAAAATGATCGTTCCCAAAGGCCTAATATCAGCTTATTGGTACGATTCATTATCGTAAACAAACTATCTCCAGCTGCCATTTCCAGTTCTGCTCGTGCTTACGTTCCCGACCTCTATAGCGCTGGTGAATCACTGCTATAGCAGGACGCTGCTTGCCTTATTGCCCGCCGTGTCATCACCTAATCGTACATCCAACAAATCCGATAGCAGTCGGCTTCCTAAGGCAGTATAATGCTAAAAACCGTCTTTATTTTTAAGGTGGTAAATACAAAACTTTTAACGCCAACAACAAAGAGGGCTAATAACTAGGCGAGTTCTATGTTCACAGAAACTTTTGCGCCTTATAGTGTTTTTCCGAGCCTTCATAGGTTTATAATTTTTTTTTTAAGAATATAGTGTAGCCAAACATTTCATTGGGCAATAAAGGAAGGCTTCAATAAGTAGTAGTACCTCTAATGTGTGTCTATTATTGTCGATGATGACGAGTCCGCAAACCTGTGGTCTGAAAAAGGCTAGAAAAATTAAGCAAGACCGACCATTTTAAAAATACTAATTATCGTGATTAGAAGTAACTACAAACACTACTATTTAAAAAAGAACTCCTGGAAAGTCTGTGCTGAAGGCATGTCATCTGGCCGAGAAGTTTGCCTTTCCATTAGCGGATTACATGTGATTGGCTAAAGCGATAGCATCTTATGGGGATGAACAGGTATGGTCCACTACCGACTTTGTTTTTTGAACCTGCTTTATGTACATAAATTTTTTTTTTAAGGTATTCCGCGATTTTTAGTTTGTTAACATTTCGCATCGTTAGAGCACCCGACATGCTACAACCTATCTACTCTTATACTGGCCTAAATATTTACCTAGGTGTATCTCGCTAACACGATTCGGCGCAGAGTGGAAGTAACCAGCAATAGGACAGGGCAACAAAAAAACAGCGGAACAAGCCGAACTGGCTCTTAGCTTATCCGCTACAGAATAAAAACGGCTAAGACTCGGCCAAAAGGAAGACTTAGGCTTAGTGGGCATTACCCGTGATAATCAACGCAAATAGAACAGAGGTTAATACTTCTATGCCGTGCCGTTTTTCTTATCATAATCCCTTTGTTGGCATCTCGGGCTACGAAATTTCAGTATCCAGAGTGGGTAAGCATCGACGACTTGGCCCATCGTCAATGTATTGACACATACAGAGCCAACTCTAACTGAACGGGACGAGGACAAGCTACAAGCTATTTATTTGTTACGAGCGAATATATGCGCCGTTAATTGTAGGTATGGACTTCGTTACTGTATCGCGCTGTCGTCCCATGCGACTCCGTGTTGTCCGCTGAATGTCAGTTAAATCGGCGCCACTTGGCGCGGGAAAGCCCCTCAGCTACCATTACCTTTCTCCTTCTTCGCCTGGTGGCAGCGGGAACGTTTGAATAGATCAGCATCCAGCAGCCGAAAGTTCCATGGTCATCTGAAAAGCCGCTAGACCGTCAACAGCCATCAATGTCGGGCTGTGTTCGGAAGTCAGCTAGTTTAACGATCGGCTGCTGATCGACTCTTATCTTTTGTATCGCGTCGGTTATATTCCCCACCCCCCTCTCCATGGGGAATGGGACATGGGCTAGCCAATTCTGACCCTGATTACATTACAACCACAATTAAACAGGATTAGCAGAACATCGGCGGCAGCACAGGCCACAACGCAAGAATACGGGAGGTGCGCAGGTGTGTGAGAGCCTTAGGGAAGCATATGGCAGAGAGGAGACCCCCAATGCTGTCGAACAGTCACTGCGGCGCGTTGAGTTAGATTGAAATAAGCTACATTACTCTCAGCTAAGGCCGCGGTGCTGTTGCTTCTAAGTGCATTATGTCCGCCTGCTATAGCAGAAGCAATAGCAATCAAATAAACTGGCACCAAACAACATAATCGCCAAACGTCAGTTGGTATTAGCAGGGTCATCGTTTTCAGCTGCCGGCGATTTGCGATTGCTGTTACAGCCACTGCTCTGCCGTGGTTTGCTTAGAACCAGGACGGACACGACTCGCCGTATGGCAACGAGACGACGATCATTTACGGTAACAGCAAACGTCTACTGTGATACAGCAACAACAGCGCCGCGCCACACCAGCAGCAGTTCGCGGACAGTCAATGCTTCTATCCGTTGGCCGCGGTTCCATCCGTCGGTCTGTTTGTCCGACAGTCGACGGCAGCGCTAGCGGCTGCTACGTGTGTAAACGAACGGCGGCGGCGGTGGCGGCGGCGGCGGCGGCGGCGGCGGCGGCGGCGGCTGCTACTGCTGCCGGTTAACGGAAGAGAGCGTTGGTAGTTGGATCGCCATGGCAGTGAGTCGTGTATCTAAGTCTGTGAGCGTTTGTGCGTGCGCCGGTGTATTTGCAAGAAGCCGTAGTGGCGAGTAGAGGGGAGTCGTCTCTGCTGCTGCTGCCGCCGCCGCCGCTGCTTTACCGACCGAGTGACTATCGGTCCGTCAGTTTGCCTGGCCGTCGCCGCAGCAATATTGATGCTGCTAATGCCACTGCCTTAGCGATTACGACGACACATCAGTCGACAGCAGCCAGCCATCACGAGCCCCATCACCAACAGCTCCAGTAGTAGCAGCAGCAGCAGCAGCAAGACCATCGCTCTCTGTAGAAGATGACGGCAGGCCAACAACCAGGAGACGAGGAGTAAAGGGGCGACTTTCCAGACCTATTCGTCGTGTCGAACTGTGTGTGTCCGTTGTCTGTTGGCTGATGACAGTCGTTGCTGCGGCGGGGTTCATGCAGCAGCAGCAGCAGCAGCAGTAGTTGTAGCAGTGAGTACGGTGAGGCAATGCACCTCATGCTAGCTGCCCTGTGTCCGTCACTCTCGATCGATTGGGGTTCGATTTTTTTTAATTGACTCGGACTTGGGCTGATCGTATACGATAGCCGTCGTAACACAACTTGTTGCTTGTGATCTAGTGGAGTGAAAGTCCTTGGTGGGCTGCGACGATTGGTAAAATATCGATATTGTGAGTGCTTTCGTGAATGCCGGATTCATCCGTATCTATCGTACAATACGAAATTCAGACGAGATTAAGTGTTCACTTGAAGAAAAACTTTGTCGAATGCTGTTAGTGTTGACACCATTACGGCTGTGTAATGTATGCATCGTCTGGATGTGATTGTCATCGTTCGAGGTGAAACGCAAAAGAGTGATCGTCGATACAAAAGAAATAGGTGCCCACGTTCACGTACTGTTTCAATAGCAAATAACTACTAACAGAATCATTTGCATTACCGTAACGTCGTATTCAGTGGCGGTAGTGCTGTCGTTTCCCTGTTGGCGAACTGATCTGGTCTACCGGCAAGTACACCGGTGGATGATATACAAGTGTGACTTTTCGACGACGCTTTTCGGATGTCTAAGGATATTTTTTGCACTGCCTCCTATTGACATTCAGTCTGGGCAGTGCTAAAGACAAGTAAAAGCGATTTTTGTGTCTAAACTGTTCAGGCTAAGGATCAGCTTAGAAAATCGTCAAAATGAGTCTCCCGCCAGAAGCGCCCACGATCAGGCTCTGTCATTTGACCAAATGGAACGATTTCAATGGCTACGGATTTAATCTACACACTGACAAAGTGAAGAACATCCAGACGCTAGGCGAAATAGACAAGGGTTAGTTAAATTATTTGTTACTATATATGCAACGTTATTAAAATTAAAAAACTCTTGCATGACAATTTCGATTAAAGGTAGGTGCAGTTTCAGATCGGCAACATGTGAGCACCTCAATGATCGTTCGAAGACAAATGGAACTCTATAGTATTAGGTTTGTTAAAAAAAATTACACTGTGACTGAAACCGGTCTGTTACGCCATTGGACATGACGTTACCCTTGAAAGTGTTAGGTGAAATGCGCCCATATTCGTATTATAATTTTACTAATGATTCATTTATATGTGAATAGTTCTTTGAATAAGCGGTAGGCTCACTTCTGTCAGTGTCAGTAATATGTCCATAGATCAAACATTTGCATGGGCGACGTCGCAATGTGGAAAACAAAAATGTGCTAATATGGTTAATGGCAGAAAAAGAAAGCCGGGTTAACGTGGGGTTGTTAATGCCGTCGGACTGGATTGGCACGCAGCATTAAAATACACTGTAGATGGTCAGCGCCATGTTGGCGTGGGTTTTTAGTAATCATATCATTGATTATCAAACATCAGCTGGTTAACAATTTTTCGCTAAATAGCACTCATCTCCTTTTCTGCGTTGGGTCTGTGACCAGCCAAATGGAAACAAATTGTTAAGATCCGCAGAGATCTACTTCACTTAACTGTTGCTGACTTGGCGATTTCAGATCGACCGCCTCTAGGTATCGCATGCTTATTTGAAAACAACCTTATTGTTACATAATGCGAAATTGTGCTCTTATAATAATAATAATAATATAATTGTTGTTGCTATTATTATGACCATGTTCATGACGCGATGCTGTGGATACGATCGATATCTGCAGTCACTTTCCATCCACTTCCGTCGCTTGATGATTTTAGAATCTGTTTGTAGGTGCTGGAAAATGGCCAGCCGAGCGCTTGCACGAATATAATTCCCTCATGAAACAATAGCCGCGGAACACGCATCTCATCTTTAAGCCAACGACCCCAAGGTATTGCCTCATAGGATTGACTGCCTGTTCGTCTGTCTCAAGGTTTTCCTGTCGTTTTAAGCGCCATTTTGCCTGTTCCTGCTTCGTCGTCATCAGCACTCGCCAAAGAAACTTACCTATTGATGCCGACGCTGTTGTTGTTGTTGTTGTTGTTGTTCTTATATGACTGCTGTTCTTGCGATAAATGTTGCAAGCATTATTTAGTTCAGGCTGCAAATGTCACTTGACTCGGCTTGAATTCTATCGCTGTAGAAGCGCCTCTTGTGCTTAGTAATTATTTCGGTTTAACTAATTTCAGTTGAAGCTTTTTTTTATTATGTACAGATTGTGGGACTTTGTGTTTGGACGGTCATTTGGTGTCCTGCTTGAGACACGTCCTGCTTGTAACGTCTACACTGGGACATTTGAACGGCACAATCTGGTTACCGTATAACAAAAACAAATCCAGAGGTATAAGCCTGGCTCAATTCTGGTCGTCGCGCATTCTGCGCTTGAGTAAAAAAAACTGTTAATCAAGCATAGGCATACTTGATCCATAGTATAGGTGTCAATTGGAAAATAGGACAACCGTGACAATAAGTTACGTCCTTGGAAAATCCCAAAACGATCCTTTTATAAAGATACCTTGATTAATAGACTTTCATTTAGTCAATTTAACAATAATCTTTTTGAGATCACATTATTTCCTGTTACGGAATATGCAAACATAGTCTGCGCTCAATGATAATTCAGTAGTTCTTCACTGATACATGGTACTGTCAAACGTAAGCATATTATCTTGAATTTCACTTCACATTAGACCTATGCCTTTTACGTGCTAGAAACCTATTTTTATTACGTAAATAGTCTCAAATTTAGAACTCATGATGGTGATCATATCAATTTGAAGGAGGCATGTTCATACGACAGGTTCTGAAGCATAAACTATGTCAGCAACAAAAATGTGTGTACGTGTGTGCCTTTATATTATGACCATTTCGTCATCCTTGTCGTTCTCGGAGTTTTTATGTCCATTCGCAATATTACTTTGGATTTAAACAATTTCAGGCCTTTCGATCTTGTATTAAGCCGTTCTCTGGCTGATTAAAGTGCACTAGGATTTAGTTGTTGTACTGAGAGATTTTATTGTTTACAATATCACATTAACGTTGTTCATGCAGTAAATTTTGTCGGATTTACTTGCCTTCAATCCCTCTATCATTTTGATCCGTTAGCCTGAATTAGCATTAACAGTAAATGAGCGAACTGCACAACTGTTCGCCAATGCAAGTTTTAGTGCCACGTACATGCCCGAGCACATAAGTCTTAAATCCCGAAGACCGATATCCTATTTGATTCTTGTCACGTTACTTTAAACAGGAAGAGTACAGGAACGTATAAATGTCATCCATGATAGTGCCTTGCTTTTTCACATCGATGTCAGTGCTTGGCAGTCTAAAGGTAAATTCGCCATAAAGAAAACTGTTTTGCTAGCTGGGCGCTTTGTTAAGCAAATACGTTTTCCTTTCCGGATTTTCCTTATACTGAAAATCGGTCAAAAATTATCTCAAGTTGACCGAGGGAAAATTAATCCTCGTCAACGATTTTGTCATCGAATACAAACAAGTCGGCTTCCTAAAAACGCTGTCATAAGGACGCGTCGATTTTAAGGATTTAGGGATTTTAGATATAATAACATGCTTCTACTTGCGTCCAGTTAAGGCTACTATCACCCTTGAATCCACGACTGGTGGTCTTTTGTCTGAGTATGGGTGTAAAGGTAATCGTACTGTTTGCTCATAAAAGAGGGAAGAACGAGTGGCATTGTTCGTTACATAAGGTAACAGGTTCAGGTTAATGTTATATACGTAGCGAATGCATGGTGCTACGAGAACGATACAGGCATATTCCAAACAGATTACGCTCGTATGATCGTTAAAAACAAGACATTGTGGAATTTGTGACCTTATTTTTGTGTTGATGTCGCCCAGTAGGTTCCTGGCCTTAAAAAAATATATGGCTTCAACAGAGAAATCGAAAAACGTGTACTGCCTTGTACCACATAACAGTTTATCTCGAACGAGGATTCAAATCTAACAGTTGCAAGATAAATGGCTATCGTTCATTTGAAGCTTCCGCAGAACACCGTTCCTCATTTCCGTCTACCCAATTCAGTCCACAAACATAATCGATAATATATTTAGCAATATAGAAAAAAAATGTTATTACTCAGAAACGATGACCGTGTGTTATTGGACAGCCGAAGCATTATATATATATAATGCTAATATATACATAGCTGTTTTTGCAATCAGGCGATTGCCTTCTTCAGGTTGCGTAATGGGGTATTATATTTGTCGGTCAAGTTTTAGTGTTAACTACTTTTGTTCAGTAATCAGTAATTTTTAAGTTTAGTAGACATACTGACTGTTGGGACACAACTACTGACACCAAAGGGGTGGTTTATTTCGAGCGTCCTATGTTAGACGCAAGTGGTAAAACTTTGTTATTACGTATTTTGCTACTTAGTATTACATATTTTACAATTAAATGCAAAAGGATTACGTTTTAGGTGCAATACACTCCCAACGTCGTTACATTATCTTCTCGCGACATGAACTCTTTCCAAAGACTATCAAAAAAACACACAGGATATACGCCCGAGTGAATTCAGCGCGAAATAGGCGCGTTAGTAAAATGCATTACATTTATTATTGGCTTTCAATTGCATAATTACTAGGTGTGTAAGTTATGTTTCTAGATTTATTCAGTTCATCAGGCAATAACACTGCAGTCAGCTTTCGTTTATGGCAGATGCAGTAATTTGACTTCGGCGTGATGTCTACCTTTTGATCGATGCTCGGGTGTTTTGCACGTTCGAACTGTTATTTGCAACTTTGAGCGCTAGACAACGACGCTGCTAACTTGCACTCGACTAGACAAGTTATTTCCGCTATCGCCATAACTTGTAGCGCATTTAACGCAATGTATGCTCAGTTCGAAACCGCAAAGTTGTGGCTAACAGCGGCATAACCGCACCAGCTTTAGTAAACGAGCGTATAATTACTTTTGAAGGTTAGCCATGTGTGCCGCTTTGCGGCCAAATTGACACCTATAATGTTATTGGCCAACGCTAAAGGATCGCGTACACGCGCGCGCGTGGCCTTCTAGTGCTAATAGAAGGTCGAAGTACGCATTGCTGTTTTACGCTAAATTGGGTTTTACTTCGTAATTGACAGCGACGTCGTTTTTGTCCTGTGCAATAGATGTGCCTAGAATAGTTATCACTCGCTGTCTAGCTTGTATCGAAACGCACGCGTGTGTCGTTTCGTCATAAGTCTGTGATATAGTGATCACGTAATGAGTAATAGAAGCAATCGGCCACATTAAAACAATTTACTATCTTACCATGTACAATATGACGATAATGTCGAAAGTGCTCGGTACGCAACGTTGTTCTTAGCTGGCGTATCTTGTTTTGTGTATCTAAAGCTATATTTACCTAACTAAAATTGGCTAAACCTATACGTTTCCTTCAGAATTGGACATTTGCCGAAATCAAATGTACGCTTGATAGTACTATAATCCAAGAAAGCACTTTTCGAAAATGCGTACAAAGCAATCTGTTGAACAAGCGCTCCGAAGCTATTGGTAGTAGCTAGCAGCCAGTAGCCACTTGGCGCTTAACAAGACTTTTCTGTCATCTCATTTTCACGCAATGTCGGATCCCTGACCGTGTCGTGAATTGCCGCAGTCTGAGCTGAACTGTTACACACGCTGACCCCTAAAGGTATATGTTTGTTTCACAGGGAGAGAACGATAAAGGCACAAACATACCTAGATGGTGCATGCCGGGCATCGTACCGAAAGGCATAAGACATCTTATTATTAGACATGCATTAGTAGCTAGCGAACACATGCATCAGCAATACGCCCGCGCTGTGATGGCCGAGTGTCAGATTCGTCTGTTTCAATAGTTCCAACTGCCTCTATATCTGTGCTGCGGAAACGCCTCTACGTAGGCTCT